GGAGACGCTGTTTCCCCTAGCGCCCGCTGGCATAACAAGGAGTAATGGGCACAAGTTGATGGAGAGGAGGTATAGATTGGACATCCGCAAAAACTACTTCACAGTTAGGGCGGCTAGGAGCTGGAACCAACTTCCAAGGGAAGTGGTGCTGGCCCCTACCCTGGGGGTCTTTAAGAAGAGGCTGGATGCCTACCTGGCTGGACTCATTTGAGTCCCGTTTCTCTTTTGGGGTTTTTTGTTGTTCTCCCGCCCTGGCGGGGGGTCGGGCTAGAAGATCTACTAGGTCCCTTCCGACCCTTAATCTATGAATCTATATGGAGTTCAAGGGTAGCAGCCAATGGCTCATTACCTGAACAGCAACACTATAAGATCTAGTATGTATGTATGCACACATGCATAGACAAATACATACAGCAAAAAGGACTTCTTTAAGACTGTATTGGTAAGACCTGTACACTATAAACAGAATAGGTACTCTCAAATTCAAGGAGGAGACACTAAAGAACACAAGTGTTCCAGACACAATATTTAGCCTATATCCCTCTTTTCTTCAAATACTTCCAGTTTCCTGTTTAAAATCATACATGTAACTAAGTTTAATCCCCAAATACACCTTATAGTTTGATTGGTTTTGATTTTTTCAATAAATGAAAAGAAAAAAGAGATAGAGATGTAAGTTAGGAGCACAGAAAAAAAAAATTCCAGACTTTAAGCCCATCCAGACTTTGTACCATCATATTGCTGAAAACACCATTTATAAAAACAGAGTGACTGAACTCTGGTAGATGAAGCTATAATATGACTAACCTATGCTAAGGCAACTTTATTATGTCCATTTTCATAGGAAAATTTATTCCGCAGGCATTCTTGTTCACACTTCAGATACGGCAGGAAGCAAAACTCTCATATCATTTAGGCCAACCCCAACAGTAAGTCAGAAAACATGAGTCCCTGGAAGTTTTAGGATATTACAGGGATCAAACAATGCTGACCTTGAACCACATTAAAATCCCAGACCCTATGCAATGACACAATGTGTTCCACAGTGACAAAGCAATTTCTCACTATACAGTTTGGGAAGATTCCCCCCAAAGATGGCACGTAAAGAAGTCAGATACAAATAGCTTTGTCCAACCTGTAGTGTGAAGAATTTGTGCCGAAGGCCTATAAGATAATGATAGGCAATGAAACCTTCCCAAGCGGCATGATCTAGTATCTAGTTCTTTTCAATGAAGGCTGCAGGTGCACAATACCTCAGAGGATTATAAGAGCTGAGAAATGAGGCATCTGCTGCAGGTACATAGTATGAATGTGAAAATTTGGTAAATCTAAGGGATACTGCCCCCCATTTAAAATTTATCAACATACCTTAGCTGGTATAGCAGTGCTTATGCAAAAAAGCAATACTAGGAAAATTTGTTCCAGTTTGGAGGTAGGATAAGGTAGGGGAGCTACCACATGTTTACCTTCCTCCATTCTGAGTATATATTATTTCCAGAGAAGCAGTTCTAGCGGACGGGATCCAAAATATATTTATTGCTTGTAGAGAGTTAGGAAACATGGCCAGAATACTTACCAAAAAAACAAATTAACGTATTTTTGCCTGTCACGTCTTGACATTGCACAAAAATACAAATAAAGTTTAAATTATGCCCTAAGTGTGGATGTTCTTCAAACCCTTTTGTAAGCAAATTACATGGCAGAAAAAGGAAATCTGATTGAAGGAAAAAAATTTAGTTCAGGAGACATTTTGCCTCACATGACACCAGACAGAAGATCCCCCAAACCCTCAAAATTATGGCTCTAATCCAACAAGACTCTTTCACATACTAAGACCCTTGCAAACATACAGAGTTGTGTGATCTCGATGACTATCCACCCTACAGAAAAGCTTTCAGAATCAGGATCCAACCGAACCATATACCATATGTGCTGACCTGTCAAAAGATTAACAAGATCTCCTCTCTCAAATACCAGGTTTATGCTGATAGCTCAACAAATCTATCTTGGAATACAAGGGCATGTTTTAGGCTGTGTTTGACAAGTTTTTATTTTAACACAAAGAAAACCAATCAATGCAAGTGGCATGATCTCCCTCTAATAAAAAAAAAAAAGAACATGGAGACCTAGAAGACTTCAGGATACCTAACATATAAAGTAAAAGCACACATCATATTACTAGTTTTAAGTAACCTAGCCCAGGATTTCAGTTTCTGACAGCTGTCTGGTAATCCATGTGAAGCATGTTGCTGGTCTTGAGGTCCTTTCCAGCCCCATAATTTTATGATCTCAGACCAGTTCCTGAAGTACAAGGACCCACTGGCATAAAAACATTACCACAAGCTATACTTCTCTGAATCCAAACACTAGTTCCTGTTCTAAGTTTCAGATGAGGAATCAAGCACTAATAGAAAACTATTTTCCAGCTGCTAGAAATTACTCTCCATGTCTGGCTTGACACACAGCAAGGGCAGGACATATTCTAAGCCACTGTTTTTGCAGCACTCAGGCTCTCCACAATTAGCCCTGGAGATCTGGTCTGTAGATGTTATTACAGTACTCTTAAAAAATACACAGAAAAAAGCACGAATGCCTCTCACTACAACAGGAGTGGGCAAAATGCGGCCTAGGGGCCAGATGTGGTCCCTTCTATTCTATTTGGCCCACAGGGCCCCTGAAAAGTTTAGAAAAGAAATATTTTTCTTCCCTGGGCTGCCTGTCATGTGGCCCTCGATGGCTCACTAAATCTCAGTAAGTGGCCCTCTGCCCAAAATAATTGCCCGCCCCTGTACTACAAGAACTGGCCTTTACTTTTAGCTCACAGTTTACATTTTTTACATATCATACTTTGCCTCTGCTTTAATTTCATTATTTACAGGTTATTGTGGGAGCATAGGATTTATTATACTAAATAAGACCATTCATATCTTTTGCCTGATATTAGTGATCTATATCTGCAGGTTTAAATGAAGCTAAAAATACCATAATGCACTGGCACAGTTGTGCATAGCAGCACATTGCAGGTATATTGATAGCTGCAGGAAAGAAGTACATGCTTCCCCCACACACACAGCTACCAGAAGACCCTAAAGGGAAAGATAACAAAACACTTTCTTTAACGTTCATAGCATAAGCCATTTACAAAAGATGGCTAGACAGGATTTTTATCAAACATGTTAAACCCCCCGGTAATTCCTGGGCTGTTATATGTTGCACGCATACACTTTGCATACACTTTGCATATTTATACAAGGTTTGGGACACAATGAGTCTGTGTTTTGGACATCTGGTGGCCATTTTACCCCATCTTCAACAGTTAGTAAAAATGTTTTAAGCCAGTGGCAGTCCATCTTTTTGGTAAGCGCTCCACAAATTAAGTCCTGCACCCTTCCCAAGTACCACTCTGATCCCCTTCACCTGCCTGATCTGCTGTTCCACTTTCTGCTCCCTGTCCTACCTGCTGCATGCCACAAACAGAGACTGCCTGTGCCAGCTGTGGCACCCATGCTGCAGGCTGTCCACGCTTGGTTCAAACAGTCACAGAGAACTGCACAGAGGCCCACTTTTCTTGGACAGGCTGTACCCTGCAGCATCCTGCACCAGTGACAGCAAATGCCAACCTGACAGAGGAGATCCTGGAGCCCTTGGCAATATTATTTATGAAGTTTTGGGAGATAGGCAAGTTACCAGACGTAAAGAGCTAACATAGTGCCTCTCTTTAAACAAGGCCAAAAAGATGACCTAAATTTCCCTTGCTGCAACTTGAGATCATTGCTCCTTGTTATGTCATCTGTCACCACTGAAAACAGTCTAGCTCCATCCTCTTTCAAAGTGTCCTTCAGGTAGTTGAAGGCTGCTATTAAATCGCATCTCAAGTGTTCTCTTCACATCACATGTCAGTCACATCAAACAAAGTTGATTTCCTTCTTTGACCAAGTAACTACTTGGGTGGATTAAGGGAATTAAATTAATATAGGGTATATGAACTTCAGCAAGGCTTTGAAGCCTTCACAAAGGCTTATGACCCTCTCACAAACAAATTGGAAAAACATGGGCTGGATAAAACTATCATAAGGTAGACAGACAACTGGTTCAATATCCACAAGCAAAGGGTAATTAATTATTAATGGACCCAAGTCATAATGGCAGGAGGTTTCAAGTGGAGCCCCACAGGGGTTTGTCCTAGGCCCAGTGCTGTTCAATGTGTTTATTAATGATGTAGATACTGGAATAAAGAGCTTCTTGAGCAAATCTGCAGGTGACACTAAATGAGGAAAAAACCACAAACATTCTGGAAGACAAGAGAGCAATTCAAAAGGATCTTGACAGTTGCAAAGCTGGGCTGGAGCAAACAGGCTGAAGTCCAACAGCGACAACACAAAGTGCTGCACCTTGGGAAGAATAATCAGATGCACATTCAAAATGGGGGACACCCGGCTGGATGGCAGCACTGTGGAAAAGGATCTGGGGGTGCAGACAGAAGTGCAGCTCCTAGCTGTAAGTCAGAATGATTTTCATAAAGCAGCCCAAGTTACACGGTTACCCCAAATCAACAGGGATCAGATTCCAACCTGACAATATTGCTGGCACAGGGGAAGCCTAGGATCACAATCCCAGGCTCCCACTTCACTGGTAAGTTGCAAGCATGGGAGTCCAGGCCTGCAGACTGCTCCCAGCCTCAGGGCACACTACAGCCCTCCGCTCTGCCCATCAGCCCAGCCACACATTTCATTCAAGGTACAATGGGAACCAGCCACAAAGTTACTGTGTATTTCTGGGGAGGGGATGATCTCACGCATCTTTTGCATAACAGCTTCGTGCCTTACTCCCCCTGCACCCGCCATGCAGGGAGAGGTCAGACGTGCCCCCGCTCGCCGGCTTTGAAGCTGCCTGCAGCGCTGCACTTGTGTCTGCTCACGGCTATAAACCGTCACGGCTGTTTGCGGCCAGAGCAAACTAGCCCTTCCGCCTGCGCCCGCGACGGCGCGCAGCCCGCTCACCTTGCTGTCGTCCATGCGGCCGGGCCGAGCCCCAGACAACACCCCCAACTGGGCACCCCCGCCGGGCCCGGGCCGCCTGGCCCCGCCTGGCCCAGCCTGGCCTACCCTGGCCTTTGTTTACAGCCCGCGGGGCGCCGTTGTGACGGCAGAGTGGCGACTCTGGAGAGGGGCGGGGGGGAGGAGGAGCGCCGCGGCGCCTTCTGGGAAAACTAGTCCCGCTGCCCTCCGAAGTCTCGCGACAAGACGCCGGAGAGCTACCGGATCAGAACGAGGTTCCTTCCCCTCCCGCGGGGACAAGCGTGGGCTGGCTACGGGTCCTCGCTGGGCTTAGGGGAGCTGGCACAACGGGGCGTGAGCAGGCGTGGCTGCCCCCAGGGCCTTCTCTGCCCCCGGGACGATACTGCGGGGCCGCCCTGCCCCGCCTCCGCTTCCGCCTGCCGAGCAATTGTTCAGGGGGTGCCTCCTGGGGTGTGGCTTGTTGCTTTCCTGCCCTGCGTCCTTGTCGGGGATCGTGTCAGTGCAAGATGCCGAGGGGCCGCCTTTCCCTGTGCGCGAAGGGTGTTTGTGCCTGAAAGCTTGCGAAGAGGAATTGTTTCCAAGTATTTGAGTTGGCCTAATAAAAAATACCGCATTTCCCCAAAGGACCTTGTTTGCTTCTGTGCTTAGCCGACACCCCCGAGTTGCCGTGGGCCCCCTCACATTTCCTGGGACAGTCGCGGGGCTGCACCCTGGGGCCGAGCACACCCATGTGTTTTGCTGCGACTCGAAGGCTTTGGATGCACCCTGCACATGTGATTTGGTTCTCTGTGGTGCCTATTTGCTGCATGGAGCCAGGTTTAAGATGCTAGGAAATCCTGGTATCAAAAAAAGGGGGGCAGTGCATGTGGCGGCAGTGTGTGCTGCCCAAAGCTAGAGCCTGGCCACCAGCCACTGCGTGCTGGGACTGCTGCTGCTGCAGCCCTGAACCATGGAAAAGGCTGCTGGGGCCAGCCCAGGTGCCCACCTGGAGCACCTTTCCCTGCAGTAACCCCATGTGCAGGGGCATGCACCAGGGCAAAAACCAAGGCCAGAAATTTGTGCTGCTGCTTTTTTCCCCACGGCAACCACATGCCCCTGCTCGTAGGGATGCGGCCTAAGAGCCCTTGCAATTGGGCCTTTTTGCCTGAACTGGAGGGGAAATAAAAATGTTCCAGTTTGGTTAACTTTCCCTTGCCTCACACATTTCCACAGCACCAGGCATTATCCTGATCAGCACTTTTACACATTCTCTGAGGGTGGGGGGTGGCACTTTAATTAGAGCAGCCTCCTGCATCTCCTGTATCAGCATCCCTGCGCTTAAAAATGGCAGTGGAGGTGCTTGAACTAAAGCTCGTTTGATGAACTTTCGTTCAAGTGACTCCCGTCACCATTCGTAAGTATGGGGAAGCTGATACACAAGATGCAGGAGGCTGCTGGAGTGCACAATTGCCACACTTCAGCAGACTTGGTTAATATGTCTGCTCTGACACACTGGAATTCCACAGACTACATCTGGCTCTGAAGGTCTATTTGTGAACTTTTCATGGGGCTGTATTCATAATAACTGCCTACAACTTAATGCTTATCATATGCCATTGTTAGAGCTAAGGCTCTGCACAGGGGATTTTGCCTCCTGAATCACAGACCTACCTCATAGGAGACAGGCTTATATGGGTTTCTCTTCTGATGTCAGAAGCAAGATGCTTTGCATATGGTGTCCTGTCTGTCTACCCAGAAATGCTCTTTCCACCTTCCCAATCTGCCCCTGAGGTAAGGGAATTCAATGGGGCAAGAATGGTCAATGTGGTGAACAAGGACCTCTAGATATAGAGGAGAACTTGACCGCCAGATCAGCTGCTTCACCATATTGTCTCCCTGGCTCATACCTCTGCCCTCTCACCCATTCTTGAAGAAAGTGATTAGACCAGGGGTGGGCAATTATTTGGGCTGGAAGGCCAGTTAGGGACTTTTGGTGAGCTGTTGCAGGCCAGGTCAGCACCCTCCACACCCTGCCCAGCCCACAACAGCTCAACAAAACTCCCTAAGTGGCACTGTCCCAGGCCCTGGCCCCACACTGTCACCGGCTGGTGATCCCAGCCTCGGCCTCATGGCCTGGGACCCCGCAAGCAAGGCACTCTTGGCTGGGTGGATGAGATGGGGCCACAATCAGCCAGGGAAAGGTCTCTGGGAGCAGAGGAGGTGGGTGGGAGCTGGGGCCAGAGCCAGAATCGCAGGGCCTAGGGCAGAGCTGCAATCGTCTCCCAGCACACCCCTGCCCGCAGAACCAACACCCATTGCAGGGACATGCAGGGAGCAGATCGTGGCTCTGCCCCAGGGCCCTGGCCCAGCACTGTCACCACCCCATGATTCCAGCCCTGCCTGTCTTGCTCCCAGATGCCACTCCCTGCCTGCTTGTGGCCCTATCCCATCTGTGCAGCCAAGCACACCCTGCCCACAAGGGGTCCGGGTCAGTTGCCATAAAACCCCTGCCCACCTGCTCCATCTGGCACCCCCAGTGCTGGACAGAGGGCGGATGGGTTGGGGTGCCTGGGCAGTGGGGCTGGGTCCAGTAGCAGAAGCAACACTGGCACTGGCAGCCAAAAGCAGCTGCTGTCACCAGAGTGGCTGGGAAGCAGAGCCCAGCTGCCATGCTGTCCCAGCCCTGCTGAGCGCCTGGGACCAGCGGGACTGGCTGCATGCACCACGGCCCAGCTGGGCCTGGGCCAGGTGGGACCAAGGGACCCACTGCAGGCCAGATAAAATCCTTTGGTGGGCCAGATCCGGCCTGTGGGCCATATTTTGCCCACCTCTGGATTAGACCTTTTTTTGGTACCCCAGACAGAGCTGTGAGGCTGGAAAGCTGGAGAATAAGCCAGTTAGGATTTCCCCCAAGAATGGAGAAATGATTGGATGCAGGGAGGCCAGCATAGGTAGCTTTAGGCCATCTCTGTCACAGCTTGACTGAGGGAAGGTTCATAGACAGTACGTCGACGTATAAATGCCATTATACCTGTTACCAGCAAGTTTCATTTCCCTTTGATAAGTGCCCTACATGCTCCTTACTCTGCTCCCTGTAAAATAACTAGCCCCTTCAGAAGCATGGCCCCTTGAAACTGCATTGATAGAAATACATTTGAGCAACCTTAGCTTGGTTGCTCACATGTTTTTGGAAGATTTTTATCTGTGAAATATTATTATTCTTATATATTGACTGCACGTCAGTTGTATGAGGCACCCTGATGTTTTTATGACTAGCCATAGTGACTCATAGCAGATAAAATCTAGTCTGTATTAATCTCAGAGACACATATGTCATATGCAATAATTATTGTTAGGCTATTTCAGCCCCCTATTCAAAAAATTAAATATGCTGAAAAGCAGGGATCTAAATTTCACAGCAGATCTAAAGAGACTTTGAAGTATATCATTGAGTTGGGTTCAGCAGTCATGCAGCAATTTAAAAATCATTAGTTTTCTCAGCATGACAAGAAAAAAAAAAGATAAATCTTCAGGGACTTTGGCACTATTGCCTTTGACAACACAAAAAGGTGTACTTGTTCTATGATTGTTTTTATTTTTAATGAAATATATTATTATTTAATTTGGACAAATTTAAAGTCTGTATTGCTTCACAACAGACAAGCATAATTCTTTTAATGTGTTTATGTTAATGCAAGGCAAAAATCTCCTACTAACACTGCCCCTTTATCAAGTGGTAGTGACTTTGGCAATGGCACACCAGTTTCTGTAGCCATCAGTACGCAAGAGAGTGAAGGGACTAGCATTATACCCAACTACCTTTGACTTCTTAAATGACTAAGTACTCCTTTACAGCTGAGTCACTTGGGGGAGCTTTCAGCATGAATCTAGAACAAGAGCAAAATCTCTGAAGGTAAGACCCCTTCCTGCTCCCTCCAACCCTGCCCTATATCTGTGCCTTGCATCTTCATCCATGTAGCTAATTTTACTAGGCTCTTCAGCAAAACTAGGAAGACAAGATACCAGTCTCAAAGATCTGATAGCTTTAATCAACATGTGGACAGCCCATATTGAAAAGGTGTGATGTGATACTTACCTATTCAGCACTGCCAGTAACGGTTTATACAATAAAGTGCAAGCTCCTTGTGAGTTTTTGTTCTGTGTTTCTGCAGTCCCTACAACACTGAGGCTCTGATCCATGACTGGTGCTTCTAGACACTCATGAGAATAATAATAATAATGTTTGCCTTGTTTTTAAAATGGTTTTCCTAGGCTGTAACACTCTCTACATTCTCCAGTTATAATTTAACAATTTAGGGCTTAACTACATGAGATTTTCCTAATAAGCTATTTCTGATTAACGTCCTGTGCAGACTGTATTCAGAATAAGATAATTTGGAATAAGGTACTCTAATTCCAAAATAAGAGTGTTCACACAGAAAGTTAATTAGGAATACCCATTCCATTTTAAATTCTCAGCTTCTCTCAATTTGAATTAACTCCCTGTGTAGATAAACTTTGAAATGGGATTGTTTCAAGTTGCGCATTATTAAACAGAACAAATACTTGTATATGGTAAAGGAAATTTTTATTTTTCAGCAGGAAGTAGCTGGTTCACACTTACTAGCTAGTTAACAGTTGCAAAAAACAAGAGTCAGATTCTCCATTGCCTCACACCTTTAACTTACTTTTTGGTGAAATAGGTGATAACCACATTCTCAGTAAAGGAGAAATAGGAGCTACTTAAAAAAGACATTTTACAACGTAGATTTTTGTGAAGAATCTGAATCAAATCAAAATAATGAGAAGCAAAAGAATAAGACAAAAACCACCTCTCTGACTGAAAAGATGTTAGAATAATGGCATGAAGTTCAATGTGGAGATTAAGGGAAGAAGAATTAATCTTATTGCAAAACAACAGACAGACTGAGAAGTATAATATGCGACATTCAGGAATGTCATGGCCATGTTGTATCTGGCACTTGAACAACAGAGAACTATTGCTGCTGATATGGTAATTGCAGAGGTATAGAAAAAAGTGGGTGGGTCATGTGAAATTCATGAAATACTTGAGGTGAACTCACAGCAG